CGCATATCATTAAGGACCACCCTGTATTGTTTCTAAATTCGCTAACCTGTATCCGTCATCAAAGCATTATGCGTCATTTGACACAGTGCATCATATAACCATGCAGAATATTCCAGAACATCCATCCGACGTGTGGTCCGAACACGCTCCCTTGCGAATGCACTTGAAGAAAAGCTCCGAAGCGCTTCGCGCCTCCTCCCATTCCCCCTGCCGCCCATACCTCAACCCTCTTAAAATTCGCTTTTCCACGGCGACGCCGACGGTTGAAGACGGCGACGAACACGCCGTCCGCAACGTGACCGCCTAGGTCACGTGATGGCGTCGACCAATAGCAGCGCGGCTGCACGAAATAAGTCACGTTGCAAGCGACGTGGTCGGAACGAGATGGGTTCGAGTAGCGGTTAGGAATCGTTGGAAGAGCTTGCGCTGGAAGGTTGATGTTAGTATAGGCACTCGAACAGCAAATTCAGTGTTGTACCATTTAATAACAATAAATTGCTTTTATTGCTCATGTAAGTACAGAAAAAAAGTAAATAACTCTGATGCAGTGAGCAAACGGCAAGGTTCGCTTGATTGACAACCATTAGTTGTGTTTGATTAAAAAGCTTGATGGATTTTGACATACGAGGTGTGTCTAGCATGGGGAAGCCAGGGAACTCCCCCGGGGAATCCGATTAGACCTTAAAATTTGGAGGGATGGTGGCTACTCACTTTTTACGATTCAACTAACTTGTGGTTGAAAATATTTACTTTTCGGAGCAGCTACCCGCTTCTCTCAAGTCCGACAAAATTTCTCTCCAAGTTGAATCAATGAGCCGTATTCATAAAAGAGAAACATATCCTCGGAAGCATAAGGTAACAGTATAAGGTCTTGCTTCGGAGAAATAGATAGAAGAATAAGCATATCCTTGTTTTCATGTTCCTAATGATTACCTTATACTCGCGAGGATATCCTCCAAGAAGAAGTAGAAGGTTGACTGGTATTTGGATCTTGAGCGACATGTCCTGCCTTGTTCCAGCTTGTAGTCGACGTGGGAGTTCGTTCACTCAGCATCACTGACAGATGTACTCCAGAGCTTACACAGACCGTTCCGTATTTTTACTGGATACAGTCTTTTATCAAATTAATAAGCATGTCATCCTCAAGTGATGAGGAAACTATACAAAATAATGGCAACGATCTGCAGTTCATCGCAGATAAAATTGCCATTGCTCCCATTATTTTGCAAAAGTCACAAGTTCCAAAAATAAGAATGAGAAAGGACGATACCTTGAAGAAGATGTTGAAAAAATACGAATCAACATTCGGTAAACCATTAGATACTAAAGGCTTATTAAAAAAATCAACAACATGAAATCAGGATTGAAGATAAAAACAGATCTAAAAGAACTGGAAATAAATCAATTACATTTTTAGATTGGGAAAGAAAGTTGCTGAAAGCTATGGAAGGTGACTGTAATCCTATAGTTGGGAAAATTAGAGGTGCCATTCAGGTTGGTAGTGTTCAAGAAGAAGGAAGTGAACTATATACCGAGCGCAGCGAGCAAACGGTTAGTATTACAGCGCCAGAAATTCAGAAGACATTGTCACCAAAAAGAAAATTAGCAACAGGGAAATACGAAACTGAGGAAACCAAAGGGTTAACTACAAAAGAACTACAACGTCTAGTGCTATTACAAACAAGCATTTTACAACAAGGGCATTATAAAACGAAATTAGAAATGATGCAGCGTCAGAAGCCACCTGTAACTTATGATGTTCACGAAAATAAAACTTATTATAGGTAACTTATAAATACACTTTAATCAGTAAAACTATTTATTATAATACTCAAGTTTCTTCTTATTTGTTGACTTATTTGGCGGAGAGTCAGTTCGTCATTCTCATGATTTCCTTCACCTTCATCTGAGTCTTGTTCAAGTAACTCAAAGTCAGGATCGCCCAAGCTCTTCTCAACATTATGGAGTACAATACAAGGAATAATTATTTTCGGCACATTTTTCCAACTTTACGCGGCAAACATACTGTAGGATAGGAAACCGGCGTTTCAGTTGGCCGAAACAGTGTTCAATTATAACTCTTTCTGGTTTTAAAAGCTTATTATAATTTATTTCTGCACCTGGAGTAGGATTTCTGAAGGGCATGGCTCAATACCATAACCGTCATCGCCAAGTAGTACAACATTTGCTTTATTTATTAGTTGTGATCTAGTCTGTGAATTTCTCCATATTCTGGAATCATGCACTGATCCAGGCCAACTGACATCAACACTTGTGAACATCTCTCTGGCATCACAAGTGGCTTGCACATTTAAAGTAGGTTTCCCCTTTCGGTTGATATACTCATCTCCATGTCGACTTGGTTTCAGGATTCCTATATGTGTACAATTAATTACACCAATTGCTGTCGGAAATTTATACATGCTTAGCCATATCCGCTTGGCCTCCATCAGTTCATGGTTGGTAGTTGGAAACTTGATCCATTCGTTCGACTGTGCAACTATGCTGTTCACAACTCTATCCACAGTCCGAGATACCGTTGCTTGACTAACACCAACTTCCTGACCAATACCTTGTTGATATCCAGGGTCACCGAGATAGCGTAGGCATATCTTCATGTTATGAATACATGAAGTCTGTCCGTATAGTATGTGCGGGACAAATCTTGAAACTGAATTTTGAACTAGATAATCTTGATTGGGTCTGGGTGGTGTGCAATACACAATGAATTAATTGCCGTCTTTTTGATATCCAATAAGGCGAAGGATATAAATGTGAAATGGAAGCAGTGACGTCATTATAAATTTAATATGGCTGCGGCCGCAAAATGGCGATTTATAATTCCCATAGTGACCCCTACAATATGGATATCAGATGACAAGCCTGGATGAGAGAAACAATAAGCAAAGTGACGTCATTTTAAATCCAATATGCCGACCTCCGCAAGATGGCGTTTATAACTTCCATTGTCACTCCTATGATATGGATATCAAATGAAAGGACCTGGGTGGAAGACATATCATAATCAACTTGACGTCATTCAAAATCCAATATGACGACCGCCGCAAAATGGCGATTTATGATTTTCATAGTTACCATTGTATTATGGGTATCAAGTGGGATGAGTTGATGGAAGAAACACAATAAGCAAAGTGACGTCATTTTAAGTCAAATATGCCGACCGCCGCAAGATGGCGTTTATAATTTCCATTGTCACTCCTATGATATGGATATCCATTGAAAGGGCCAGGGTGAAAGACATACAATAAGCAGCTTGACGTCATTCAAAATCCAATATGACGATCGCCGCAAAATGGCGATTTATGATTTCCATAGTTACCATTATATTATGGGTATCAAGTGGGATGACTTGATGGGAGAAACACAATAAGCAAAGTGACGTCATCCTATAAGCAATGTGGCTGGCGTCTAATGTGACAATGCAATATTATTATAACAGGACTTCGTTTGAATGTTCGAGGTACGTACTCTAGTTATACGGTCTAGCGATGAAGTTAGACAACTATTGTGTCGAAAAATACGCATCTGTAATAAATATATTAAAGAGCTTTTTAACATTAGGTACTTTATTGAAATGTAGGTCTATTCAATTGAGCAAGAATACTTGTTAGATACCGAGTACGTCTCCCGTATTCACAAGAATTTGATATATTTTCTGTTTTTTTCATGTATCATATGCATTTGATTGTAGAATATGCATATATATGAATAATTGCTTTGGTTTATATCAATAAACTTAGTGGCAACGACCTTATAGAGTTATTCTCGGTTATTTACCCATTCTTACTTATATTCACGATTTAAAATCTGGCATTTAATATTGAATTTTCCAGAAAATTCACGCAGTTTTTGATTTATAAACTCTTTGGACCGCCAACACAACTGTTTGTATATTAAACATCATTTTCTGTAATTTGAGGATTTTTTGGATTCAGAAAGAATCGCTAGTCCCCGCTCTTTGAAAAGTCTAGGGGACAGGCGCACTTTTACAAGTTATCTCTTGCCGACGATCGCCCCCCTTTGAGAAAAATTTCTGCCGGCACCCATGGTTTCCAGATTTGTCTTGACAGCACAAGCGACACTGGGCGTTATCTTTTATGCAGTGGTTGAGAACCGAAAAGGTAAGACTTAAAATATGTTATGTCCCACGAGAAGAAAGACATCGGTTCGGTTGTGACCATCGGTCTCACAAGGGACGATATTTTGCATACATTTTGACCTTAGACTAGAGCTAGAACTAAATTTTATCAACAGAAGTGCAAGTGCGCTTTATATTGTACCCTTCAGGCACCAGTTTACGTCTGTCAAAGACCCGTCAATCGTAACCGCAGCACAAATTGCCGATGGCATCACAAATAGATCCATCAGGAATAAAAGACCTGACCTGACCGAATTCAGCGATGGATAAAAGAAAGCGTCCATATTAAAGTTTAAAAAACCAAAATGGTGTCCCTAGATTTGTCTTGACTTTGAGAGGAGCACTGGGTATACTGAATTTTATGAAATAAAATGGCACATCTCAAACGCAAACTTGAACTTTGAGATTCCTTGTTCACAGCCTACAACTATAGCACAATTGATTCTTCATTCTTCTCAATTACTGAAGTCGGATTAAGCACCCTGTACGCATTGTTCAAGAAACTGACAAAGTAAGTGGACAGGAACTAAATCTGGCATCATATTTTTTTTAATGAAAAGTTCAGTACTCTAGTTATAACAATTGCGGAGTGTTAAACATATTTTCCAAATCAGGATCATACTGTTGAACAACAATTTTTGTAATGAACCTTCTTAGATATTGTGCGCAATAACAAAGAACTAACCTTGTATTTAATTACAGTTAATTGCTGCTGGTGTAATCTATTCTACTATTATTTTTCATTAATAAAAATCAAGTTTTATCGAAAAAAAAAACAGATACCTGCAGATTGAAGGTCGGATCTCGTACTAATGCATTGCAGGCATACAGGAAAGAGAGCTAAGCTTGCTTTGAAACGTCCTGCGAACAAACCTTTCCGAACATTTCTGACGCTGATTTGGGAAAACACTAATTGTGGAAATACATATGGGCTTACGTGAGGACTAGTCCCACGCATATTTTCCGGCGGTGAAAAGTGTGCGCTTTCCTTATGGGGTTTCCCGAAGCTTCGTGGCGAATGTGCGGTGTTTTGTGGTTAGGAAAACTTTTACCCACCGCGGTTGTATAATAGCTTTTTCGCTGTGAATCTAAATTGTTATCAATTTTCTTGTTTGTATACGGCGCGTAATCGGTCGCCGCTACGTCCGTGGAAGCTACTAGAACGCTTTTAAACTGATGGATTTTGGATTGCAGCGTTGAAAGCTGGGAATATGACTTGATTTCATTATTTGCAAATCGAAATTAATGAAGTACAATATATGGAAAATTCATGTAAGTATTGCAAAATGTAAATGTCAATCATAGTATAAATTGGTTCAGTGGCACTTTTTAATTTGAATGATTCAAATTTATTGATGCTAAGTAAGTGTAAGTTATATGAAAAAAAAAAAACAATTATGAAAACACGTAACAGGTAAAAAATATGAGTGCAACACGCAAGCACAGACAAATTAAAACAAAAATATAATATAAACATATTTAATGTAAATAGCAAAAATACTAGTATAATACCAATAGTTGAATAAAATTGATGTTATGATAATCATATGGAGAAAAAAATGTCGAAAAGTGCAAACGAGTATTGTATAAACCAAGTAGATCATTCAAATAATTCAGGTAAATAAAATATAGAGCAAGCATATTGAATAAAATAAAGCGTATGACGATTAGAGTATTAGACCTGAAAAGTCTACTTCTTCATTCAACTTTTGAATGCACCATTACCAACCTGTGTAATATAGGACGTTGAAGAACTTAATGCCAACCTAGTTGACCCCAAATCTTGTTTTCTGCAGCCTCAACTGCTTCGAAACAGGGTTACTCAAGTTTTGAAGAGGTGCTCCACATTTGCTTCCCATGTCATATGGCTATCAGTATGAACGCCTAGGAATTTTGTGGCTTGCAGTATCATATTTACGAAAGCAAGTTTCCGCGTTTTTGAATCATTCATAGTCAACTTGTTAGCAATAAACCAATTTCCTTGTAAGCTAGATTCTCTATTAGAAGAGAACCTTGCACGAAACAAGCTTAATCCTTCACGAACTGCTGACCGCGTGAGATAGTGTAGACTCAACCCAATATTTGTTTTTCTAGCAAACGATATTTCTGGGACGGGTTTGTAGAGATTTTTAAACAATCTGAATAACATTTTAGTGATTAAAGATACTGGATCCATGGATTGAACTAGTGAGAAAGTTCATATGAATAATGTGATAATAATAACTAGTACTGTTGGTGCTATCTGTTGGGAGACTCTCCTACCCACCAGGGCTTCATGGCCGATCTCTGCCTTTACGCGGACCACGACCGCACATGCCGCTTGGCGACATCTGTTGAGGACCGTACCAGTGACTCGCCTTCTAGATCGACGCGAAGTACCTCGAATATTCTAGATGCCGCTATGTGGCTCGCCAGACCTTTCTCGAAGCAGCGATGAAGAACTTAATGCCAGCCTAGTTGACCCCGAATCTTGTTTTCTGCAGCCTCAATTGCTTCAAAACCGGGTTACTCAAGTTTTGAAGAGATGCTCCACATTTGCTTCCCATGTCATATGGCTATCAGTATGAACGCCTAGGAATTTTGTGGCTTGCAGTAACATATTTATGAAAGCTGACAGCAAGTTTCCGTGTTTTTGAATCATCCATAGTCAACTCGTTAGCAATAAACCTATTTCCTTGTAAGCTTGATTCTCTGTTAGAAGATAACTAGACGAAGTGTGTGTGTGATCAGCAAACAATATTACGTTGTTTGGTTACAATTTGGTAAATCGTTAATATTGATTGAAAACAGTATAAGTCCGAGAACAGATCCCTGAGGTATTCCACTTCTTCGCGCAATTTTTCGATTTTTACCTTTAATTTGCTACAAATAATAACTCTTGCGTTTTTTCCTAGAGTGGATTGTTTTCGTAAGAATAAAAAAACAAATTATAGTATCAAAGTTCAATATATGTTCAAAAACAACACCATTCTGACGGATATAAGTGCGACATCTTTATAATGAAGAAAAACGTATTTCCGCAAAATTTGTTGTTGCTTGAATTTACTGAAACGCATTATTTATTCTTTCTTGTAAACGATCAACAGTATTAATTTGTTCAGCATACTACTAGTTGCTTAAAAGCTTCATACAAAAAGAAATCCAGGGGGTTCAAATCAGGAGACCTCACAGGCCAATGTACGGGTCCGTTTCTGCCAATCCATCGTTGTCTAAAATGATTATTTAACCATGCGGTCACGACGACCATGCGGTGGGGCACCGTCGCACAGTGTGTTCCTTTATAGGGATCAGGGACAAAATTCGATATCTTAAAAACTAGTGGTCCTATTTGGATTTTGTAAACGCAGGGCGATTACTTATTTAAGTAGCTTTCTAAAGTATGACAAAAATTATTTAAAATAATAAGAAGGGGTGGGGGAGCAGGCGGGATGCATTTCGCATAAATCGTTTTTTTTTGTAAAAGTCAAAATATTAAGTTGATGATCTCGAATAAATTGGGATAAGGTAGGATATTATTATAGCATTCTTAAGAGAGACAAAAAAGTCACGCTTTTATTTTTCAAGATCTTTACCGAATGATTTAAAAGATAATGTAGCCAACTTGTGGCGGGCGCAATATGATTTATTAAATTTGTCTATCTATTTGAAAAAATAATAAGAATAATTCAAATAAAAAATAAATCTGTATAATTTGAAATTGATATTTAGGTTTTTATTTAAAAAAATATATTTAACAAAATAACAATTACTTAGTAGGTAATGTATGAAATAATAATATAAACTATATTAAAAAAATAACACCAAATATACCCATTCTAATCGGAATAGGATTTCTTGCTTGGTGGTGTGTCATTCGTTATTGTACCTAAGTCAATACCTAAATCATCATTTTCTTGATTTTATAAATAGTTCTGAACTGCCTCGTTGCATTTCTTATATTTTTTTGAGCTCACCTTTCTTTTTGAGGATATAAAAGGATCAGAAGTAAGTAAAAGAAAACGCATGAGATCCTTATTCGTATCTGTTCTTGAACATTTTCTGGTGTGAGATAATCGATGTTTCCTAACCTCTTTATGGCGAGCCTCAAGCGCATCCTCCGACAGTTCTCCAATGGGCAAACAAAATGCATCAATTATCTCACACCCATGAACAAGGACCTTATGTACCGTGTTTGGCATGTTGTACCACTTATAAAGGTGGATATACAAATTTCTTGCTTCTTCCAGCAATGACGCAAACTTTTCCATATCAATAGCGCAACCACTAGCTAACACTCCTAAGATGATCGCAAATTTCTCGATTAATTCCCTGTCAACTCCTGTGATATCTGAACTTGTTTGTGGATTGTGGAAAAAAATTCTGGCCGTATTGCCATCATTTGAGGAGCCATACCCGGGTTTTGGTTTGTCAACTATTAGAGACAGCTTGGCTCTGAACTCTGCTTGGATTCGTTTTTTGTTTGCTTCGACTATAGCTTTGTTTTCAGGCCCACGAACCTGCCAAGATTTAATTGGCAGGCGGTATCCAATATGAAGTAAGCATTCAAAAAAACGAATCCAGCAGTGTAAAGTTGACAAACCAAACCGGTAATTGTCTACGTTAGGAGGACGGTTAATCCCTGCTAACGTGTTCATGTCCTTGAGTGTGGCTCCGCAAATGATGCACTTCATAGTTGAATTTGTCTCTGATAGAACGTTTCCAACACTGCCGTCCAACATTGTTAACATCATATCAACTTCAATTATATAAGAGTGCCCTTCTTTTGTTTTAATCTCAATGGGAATCAAATTTTCAATTTTTGTTATTATTTCCTTTTCCGTATTCCGCACTAAATCAGCATTTTCCTTTTTAAATGAAAACTTGATCGGCCTACAATATAAAGTATACGAAGGGCTCTCATTTTTCCATAATACCTTATTCGCTTCCATATCAATCAATCTGAGTGGCGTCATTGCTACAAGAAACAGAAATTCGTCGGTGTTTTCTAAATCAGAAAATTTCTGCTTATATTGGCTATGCCCAGAACTGCCATCAAATCCCCACTTGCATATCACTTTAATCCGGCAATCTCTCTCTTCAAAATTTATTATTTCAAGGATACTTTCAGCTGTTTTCTGTAGAAGTTCTTGCAAATCAACTTCTGCAGAAATTTCAGTAATAATAAATTGTGAAGGGAGGATAGCATTTTTTGTTTTCTGTAATTCTTTATAACTAGGAAGGCAGTTCTGGGCCTTACCATTAATAACAGACCTAAGTAGCAAATACTTTCTTACGGATATATCCAAATCTACCATGAGGGCTAAAGCTTCAGCTGTACTAAAACTAAAAATTTGTGGCGAGACCTTACTGTGATTGCTTCCAGAAACGGCATTTACAGCAAACTGAAGTTCATTTGCAGATCTGTCTGTGGTTAGTTCGGCTACACGTCTTCGTTTTGTTTTCTTCGATGCCTCTTCAAATGGCACCCGTGGCCGTCCAACTGAACGACAAGGAGATTCTTGTTCCTCATCCGAAGATCTGTTTTCTTCAGAATCATTGTTTATTCTATATATAATCTTGTCTAACCAATATACCTGATTTTGTAAAAGTCGATTCCGAGATTGTCCTACTTTCTGCCATTTATTTGCCATTTTCAACCCAAACAACTGGCTGCATTTCATAATATTACTTTTAAGATGTTTGGAAGGTTCATCTGTTATATCAATAAGAGATAATATCTTTTCATAAACCACCTGTTTTCTATTTCCTCTCGGTGCTTCTATCCACACATCAATCAAATCTCTATTTCTGACAATAGCACCATGTCCTAAAAAAAATTATATTTCCCTTAGACGTGGCATGACGTGATTTAAACTTCTTATCAAAACTTACTATGGACAGATAAACAATAAATAAAAAAATTTTTAGGGTGATGGGAGGTGATTTTTGTAAAACTCTAAACAAAGTCAAAAGTTTAAAAAATTAAAAAAATCGTTAATAGTCACTTTAACTTAAAAAAATATCTAATTATAATTATATTTTAAATAAATCTATACATCAATATAATGTACTTACCAGCCTCATTACCAGCCATATTGGAAAAGTTAAAATATTTAAATATTTCGACACAAAATTTATATCTTTCCCGAGCAATAAAACAGAGAGATTTTTCGCCTTCTTGACAGGTCTCGACATGTCTAACTTTAAAGTTGCTAAAATAGGTAAATCGCAGCCAACTTGATTAAAGTACTATACTTACGTGTTGCAGAGACTATTTATTTATCCAATGGTAT